CAAGGAAAGTACTGCAGACGTTCAAGAAGAAGGTCCAGACCACCTGCGCCTTACCCGCTGGGAGTGGGCCATGGACAGGCTGTGAATAAAAATATAGACGAAAAAAGCTCTAAATCTGTTCCCTCCTCCGTTCAGTTCCTTGACTCTCTGATAGCATTTTAATTGTGCATATCTTTCCCCCTAATCCCCAGTTATCTACCCCTGCGTATTTTCTGCAATCTTTTGTTTTTTTGGAGCCCTTGGGTTGCAATGAAGCCGAGACCCAATGGTTGGTCAAGTTGCCCCTGACTCTCCCCCATTCCTGCCATTCCATATGTTTCATCTCGGCCTCGTGCCGTCAAATGGTGTGTTTTTTGGTAACAATAGCCTCCCCTAGCACCACCGTGTCACCTAAAATGTTCCTGCCTCTACATTCTTCTATCTACACCACCTTCAACCCACTGCCCACACCAGGGAAATACTCTGCGCTAACATAACACTGCTAGCCCTGTCACTGCCACCACACCCCCCCCCCCCCCACCTGCCTACAACTACCACACACTGTATACAGCATCCTGCCCATGCCGACCACACCCAACGTATCACTGCCAGCCCTGCAACTTGTACAGTTTTCATATTAACACACACACACACACACACACACACACACACACACACAGCGCTTAACACTACCAACACGAATACGCAGTGCATAGGGCCAGAAAAACCAACACCACATCTCCTGATATAAATACCGATTTGGCCAATACCATCCCTATGTTGTCTGAAACTAAGAGCACAGATGAACTAGCCTTGTTAGACCTTGTGGTGTTTTGCAGCATGGCATTTGTACCACCCAAAATTTTTTAATGTGGTCATAAAGGCTGCAATCTCAGCTTCTCACGTGGGTAGCGAAGTGGAAAATCACAGGCGTACGCATGCAGGCGAGTCGTTTGTCGTGCCCTCTCCCCAGTCGGCGGACAGTGCTAAGGCACGTTGTGAGACAAGTCAACCGGCCAATAATGTTTTTCAACATGAGATCTTATCGTCCAACCAGGCAATGCAAGCCCATGGTGCTGGGCTCCCTATGAGCACGACAAGCAACAACATGCAACTCTATGATGTGCCGACTGGAGGCTGTGGCGACGACGCGGGTTCGCTCAGTATTTTCACTGGCAATGTAAATGAGGACTTCGAATATTTACAGCATTGGGCTCTCGAATCCATCCCTTTGACCTTCCCTAACACTTCTCTTGGGGTTGGGATCGAGGACGACCGACGTCTTCGTCACACCACCGGTGCCAGGAGATATGGGTACGGCAGCACTAGAATTTGACTTGCTAGAAGCATGGCCGCCGATAGAAGCTGCACCTGTCCATCTCCCTGATTCCACTCGCACTGACGGCGTAGGTGAGGACACCATCCTGTCACCGAAACTGTCCCCAAGTTGTGGGTCGCTACCATCCAATCACCGGCCATTGAACCATGTATGTCGTTACGAGGGCTGCATTCGCAGCTTCAAACGCAAGCCCGACCTGGAACGGCACATGCTTACACATACAGGTGAGAAGCCCTTTGAATGTGGAATCTGTAAGCGCAATTTTGCAAGGCGGGCACACCTGACCGAGCACAAGGGCACACATGCCGGTAAGAAACCACACCAGTGTGTGTTGTGCCGTAAATGGTTTAGTTGGGCTAGGAATATGCGTCGACACGTGAAGGTTCACCACCGGCGAGAATAAAGACGAACACCAGGCGTGCAGCAGAGGTACTCTCCGGGACGTGTTGGTGTACTTTCCGTTACAAACATGTTGAGCCTGGCATCACTTTCCGTAGTGAGTGCAGCTGGACAGTTACTTGAAACAGTCACTGCGTCGCCTATTAGTGCAGCCTATGTTACATCTTCGAATAGCACTGGTGCATCGACAGATACCAACGCCTCCGTCGACGCACCATGGCAGGCTCATCCACGGTAAATGTACACCAACAGCAACAGTTACAGTATTTGCAGCACCAGCAACCAGAACACCAGCAGCAGCACCATCAGGAATTTATATGTGGCCGTGAAGGCGTGCAGGACGAGCACTATCGAGGTCGTGATGGTATGCCTTCGCCTAAAGACATGGCTAACAGACCATCACTTCCGATGCAGAGTGCAGCTGGACAGTTCTCTGCCACAGCCAATGCCCCGGCCTTCAGTGCAGCTTCTGCCATGTCTTATTACAGAGCTGCTACATCGACGACACTCGCCGGACCCGCCGTAACAAGTGGCAGGCTCATCCATGGGAAGCGTATGGTAACAGCAACGGCAAGATCATCTCAAGCAACACCAACTCGAACATCAGCAGCCGCACCACCAACGCCACCGCCATCAGCATCTGGTTCCAAATCCTGAGCAGAGAAGTGGCAGGGCTGGTGAAACGGAACAAGCCATGTAGTTCATATGCAGGCGGAAAGGGTCCAGCACCACCACACTATTCGGCTGTCCCTGGAATGCACCTCCCTCCATATATGCTATACATGTATGTTCTAGGTGACGAGGGTCGGTGTTACTGCAGAGTTAAGTATGCTTGATCTGCTACAGCATTGTGTTGGTGCAGCTCCAGGGTTTTGCGTAGCATTGACTACTAAGCCACAATTTGTCATGTCCCTGTATTAATCGAATCTGTGACCAATCAGACTTTGCCTCTTACACGCTGGTAACATTCTAACGATGACGTCACCTACATGTGTATAGTTTGATGTATTATGTGTCGACTGTCTACTGTATATGGTCTTATGTATGCCTACATTGTGTGCCGTTCGTTTGCCGATATCATTAAAATACACCCGCATATATAGCTATGTATGTAGTCACCCGTGCATCATACAAGATGACAAAATATGTTGCACCAAGAACATGGGACATGTGCCTCGTAAAAGATGACAGTTTCTGGGATGTACTCCAATGGTCGTAGTCCACTGGTCTATTCAAAACTCTTCTCATATCTTGTGCAAGTCTTTTCAATTACCAGGCAACTTGTACAATGCTCTCACAGGCATACATGTAAGTAGTTACCACTCTGCATCCGTAGCATATCTCCGGTCGAAGTGATCCTGTTAGTGATCCTCTTAGCCCTTCCAGGGCCGGAAAAATGTACTTCAGTACCCAGAATCAATTAATTGAACTCAACTCACTGCTAAATAGTAAAAAACACCATTAATTTTTCTCTATTTCCCTGGTCATGTCTTTGGTAGCCTTGAGACAAACATTTGGCTGTCAAAACGCGAACATCACAACTCGGGGCTTGGTCCCACATGAATTTTTGCGACTCTGCACTTTCGCCCTTTGTTTTCGCTACAGTTGTCTGCGACATACATAGAATCACAGTCAAACACGCATACACACACACATATACACACACACACTCGCAAAACTACGGTGGAGGCTAGGCGAGAGAGCTAAGAAGCCACCTGCGAGAACTTTTTAGGAATCTCTCATATCACTTGCGGGCAGTCAGTAGGCCTGTCCACATCACGTGAATTTTTTCTTTCAAAAATGGAATGTAAAATTCAACGAATACAAAAATTGAAAACGCCGGCGTGGAGACAAGAAAGCTAGCAATGTGAGCGTACTCGGACCACGAGAACAATGAAACAGTATTTTTTTAAATTCCACGTCCGTCGTCGTTTTCATGTGATCAATTATCAGAAATCGTCATCACACTGAGAGTTGGACTACAAAGGAAAGATATTTATGGTTGTATAAAGTGAACATTATTAGATCTAAAACTAATACAAGAAACACAAGAAACAATAATCTTCTTAAGCTAGCACTTTTGGCGCTTACCTCCCCCTCTTTGTTATAATCACTAATATCAATGACACTTCCTAGTTGGAAGACCTTTTGTTAGCGAAATCCAGCAGCCTTTGCGAATAATGCCGGCAGAAAAATTGGCAGAATTCGGTACTTTTTCTGGTAAGTTTCATGCATGTTTGGTATATTTTCTTCCGATTATCATCTTCTTTCCTTCATTTTTTCTTCTCTTGCCATGGCTGGCTAACGCCCCCTCCTTTGCATTGGCTTCTGCCATTGGACGGTGAAATAAAAAATAAATAAATAAATGTGGATAAAGAAAATGGAGCAGAATTCGATGAATTGCCCGCCATAAGGTTTGTATGGTTCTGCCAATTTCACTGCTTTTCGAGCGGAATCTGCCACCTTTTCGAGCATTATCCGCACACCCCTACGGCTTGGTCTCCATTTCCTCCATATCACATTAGGGCACATTAGCATGTTCTATTTCTTTTTTCTCCTATTTTTCTCATAATGACATTGAAATCAAACCCGCAAAATTGCCATGCAGTGCATACAAGCCCTCGATATATTTCCAATTCAGCCAACAAAACCTGCCTAACAAAACCTGCCTAAGAACAGCTTACTAAAACATTATTTTAGTGTGGTGTTGTCCTGCGTTCTTGCGTTCAGATGTGAGAACTTTGGAAAATGCACAGGTTGAACATTTTCAATTTTACACTGAACCCACTAATAATCACGCCAGCGCTCTAGGGTCTGGTTATTCAATTTCAGGTATTACAGAGATCACTAAATGATTCTATAGGATGACAAGTGAAAATATCTCCTCCAGCACCACAGTGTCACCTAAGGATTCCTGCCTCTACATCACCCTACCTACACCGAACACACACTTTCCCCACACCCTATTGCCCACAGCAGGTACATACTCTGCGATAAATGTACACTGCTAGCGCTGTAACTGCCTCAACAGCCCCCTGCCTACAACACCCACACACTCTGTACAAAGCCTCCTGTTCACACTAACCACACCCAATAGAACACAGCTAGCCCTGAAGCCTATACAACCTCCACATTCACGCGCAGCTTCCCACACAGCGCTAAATTAACACTGCCAAATGCACACCGCATGTACAGCACCAGAAACCTCACCAATATCTCTCCTGGCATTAATACTGGTTTGGCCAATACCTTCCTCATATGCTCTGTTGCATGAACCTAATAAGTACCGACGAACTAGCCTGGCATGCACTTGTTGTTCTTTGTAGTATGGCACTTTTACCATCGCACACATTTAGATGTGGTCAAGACGCCGGCACTCTCAGCTTCTCTCGTATAAACGACCTGACCCGGCACCAGCAACCCCTTACAGGCGAGTCGTCGGTCATGCCCCCTCCCGAGTCGGCGGACAGTGCTAAGACAGGTAGCGAGACGAGTCAACCGGCCAGTAATGTTCTCCAACAAGAGTTGTTAACGTCCATCTCGACCAACCAAGGCTATGGAGCTGAGGACCAAGTGGACACAACAAACAATATGCAACTCTCCGATATGCTGACTGGCTACTTTGGCGACGCGGGTGGTTCGCTCGGTTTTGTTCCTGGTGGTAACATGCATGACTTGGACGTTTTGAGGCATTCCGGTCACGAGTCCATCCCGGCATTGGCGGGCCAGACCAATTATCTTGGAAGGCAGGAATTTCATTGCGACACTGCGGATGTCTGCGTCACGCCAGCTGTGCCAGGAGGGATGAACTCGGTAGCGCCAGAACAAGACTGGCTGAAGTGGCTAGAAGTGCCCATTGAAGACGCACATTTCGATCCCCTTTATTCTACCCACACGAATGTCGCTAGTGAGGACGCCATCCCCCAACACATGATCACTTCAGGACCACAGTCCGAGTCGCCAGCATATTCTCATCGACACATGCAACTTGCTCAATCATCATTGATTCAAGATCATGCTAGATCTATGGTTAGGAGTATCGGGCACACAACACTGGGATCACATCGAAGCCAGAGTATTGTAAATGACATGGCTGGTGCGCCCGTAGTTTGTGGAAATTCCGACGCCCTCGCAAGAGTGCCAAGCACTACATCATGCAGTGACCTTCAATGGTTAGGGTCACAACTTCCTCTTGCAGATGACCACTTAGCAATGAACTCAGCAGCTACCAACATGATGTCTTCCGGTAGTGCTGATGGTAACGTCGCCATTAGCCAGGATCAGCAGCGGTGGCAGCAGCAGCAGCTGCAACAGCACTACAGATTGCCAGGTGATCTTGAGGGACACCAAGCCGCCACAGCTAACATAACCAAAGTTTCCATGGGGAACGCTGTCGGCTCGGATGGGTTTCCTTCATCTCACCGGGATGCGCATGCAAATAGTTTTATGTCCTCGGGGATGCCTTCACAGCCAGTTAATACCGTGACAGCTACAGGAAATCACGAACAAGAAAATAGCCACGTCAAACTGTCCCCGAGCGGTGGATCTCTAACATCGACGGAACGGCCATTCATATGTGGTTATGAAGGCTGCAATCGCCGATTCTCTCGCAGTTACACACTGCCCCGGCACACGCGTACGCATACAGGCGAGAAGCCTCGTCAATGTCAGATTTGCAGGCGTTGCTTTTCAAGGCTGTATCTCCTCACTGAGCACATCCGTACCCATACTGGTGAGAAACCCTTGAAGTGTCTACTGTGCGGGAAAGGGTTCGCCAGGTATGGCACTAGGCGTCTACACATGATGGTGCATCATCGGGCAAAATCAAGATCAGAACCAGGTGTGATGCACGGAGACTCTCTGGGTCTTGCTGCTACTCCTCCGCTTACAAATATGGTGAACTTCGCCTCACTTCCAGTAGTGAGTGCGACTGTACAGTTCTCTGCCGCAGCCACTGCGCCAACTAGTAGAGCAGCCTCTGTTACGCCTTCTAATAGCACTGTTGCATCGACTGTTACCACCACCACCACCTCCGCCGCTGCACAGGAATATGTGATCATGGCAACATGTAACCATGGCATGCTAATCCACGATACAAGTACAGCAGCAACAGCAGTAACAACACCATATCCAGCAACAGCTGCAACAACACCATACACAGCAACAGCAGTAACAACACCATATCCAGCAACAGCTGCAACAACACCATACACAGCAACAGCAGTAACAACACCATATCCAGCGACAGCTGCAACAACACCTTACACAACAACAGCAGTAACAACACCATGTCTAGCAACAGCTGCAACAACACCATACACAGCAACAGCAGCAACAACATCATATTCAGCAACAGCAGCCAGAACAGCAGCAGCAGTAGCACCAAAACCAGCCTCATCTGCATCTGATTTCAACACCAGAGGCGAGTACTGGCATGAATTGTCAACCTGAAATGCATTGTGGTTCATCAGCAAGCACCAAGGGGCAAAAGGCATCTGCTAACCTTGGAATCGGCTACCTTTAAAGGGAAAGGTACCGCCCTGGTTGGCGTTGTCGTAGAGTCACGTCTGGCTAACTTGCCACTGCATGGAGCTGGTACAACTCCAGTGTTGTGTGTACTTGACTACAATGCCAGCACCTTGCTATATCCCCTATATCAATCGAGTCTGTGACGAATCAGACTGTGTCCCTTAAGAGTTGATGACGTTCTTGCATAAACGATGACGTCTTTGTACATATACCTGTACATGTATACAATTTATGTCTAGGTGGGTGGCTTGGGAAGAACATGAAAGCAGAGCCAGCAAAAAATTCTAAAAATAATCTATCCTTGGAATGCCCCTACCCCCACCGGTGTACGTCCTAGATGACAAAGGTTGGTGTATCTGTAGAGTCAAGTCTGCCTGATCTGCTGGAACAGTGTGTTGGTGCACGTCCAAGGTTTTGCGTATCGTTGACTACTATGCCAGAACCTTGCCATGTTCCCTGTGTCAATCGAGTCTGTGATCAATCAGACTTTGTCTCTTACCCGCTGATAATTTTGGTAGTGCTCACGTCACCTACATGTGTATGGTAAGATGTGTAGGTGTCTACTGTATACTGTCTACTGTATTGTGGTCTGATGTACCTGTACCTGTACGCGAATGACTGTTGGGACATTCTTCCAAAACATGACGTCACAGAATTCGTAAAAAAAAGACAACTTTTGTCGCAAGCGGCTAGCCTGTCGCAAGCGCGAGACTCATCATGGGCGCGCTCGAGCTGCGAAGCGCGACACACGAGCGCGACCCAAACTGTGTGTGTCGAATCTGACCGTCATTATGATCGCCCTCGATTTATTTTCGTTCTACTCGACAATTCCAAAAATCAGTGCCATTGGCTTTAGCTTTGCCCTTGAACTTGAAATCTCGTGCCTTATTCTTTCTTGGGAACTGGTGTTGGATATTGAACGGGCGGAGTGACCGCCGGGATGATGGATGAAGGAGATGAATCACGATGGCCTAATCTTGGCTGCGCGCATTCTCATTTTCGCGTGGCCTGCCACTAGTGTTTGATCCACAAAGGGTGTCACAGGCATAGCTGGAGGAAGAAAGGTGATGTGAACTTCAGAAGTTCTGCCATCGCAGCACTGTATAGAGGGCCATTAGAGGCTGTGTAGGCTGTATGTTTGATTTAGCTTGATTTAGCTCAGTGCTGAGCTTGCACCACACCACAGGTAGCATATTGAGTATTATTTACATTAATGATTATCCATATAACTTGAACCGCTCTGTGAGCGGTTCTGAAAAACCTTTATTGGCGCTGCCCCGTCGTAAAAGTAAGAAATTAAAACTGGCTCATTGCCGGTACCCCCAAATGTGAACTGATCCACCTAAATCGCAAATGACGTGACCCGAACACAGCAGTAGCACGAGGGTGCACTTGTGGTGTGCCGCAGGGCTCTGTACTAGGACCCATGCTGTTCTCCTTATACACCAGAGATATCCCCTCGGAATCTGCGCCGGCATCACCAGATGACATCGCCCTGACATGTGCAAGACGGACAGCGCAAGAGGTGTCTCATGCGCTCAGCTTGGCGGTTACCTCCCTCTCAAGTTGGCTGGACGCTCGTGGTCTTGTATTAAATGCAAAGAAGAGTAATGTATTGGTTTTTACCAGCAGCAGTGGGCAGCAGCCGGACGTGGGTGTACGCTGTCGAAATGATGTGCTTCCGCACGCCACCAGCGCGAAATACCTCGGCGTCTTAATCGATGAACGAATGACCTGGCAACCGCAAGTTGACCGGTGCATCTCACGTACTAGTGCTAGGAAGATCGGTAGCCTGTGGCGGGGCGACACTGCCTCACGTGACTCTAGCTAGTCGAAGCAAGTACTTCCTATCTGTCATCATGCCGGATTTGATATTATGGATCGTCAGCATATGGCTCCGGCTTGACCCACAACCAGCTAAACCGCTTGCAGGTGGCCCGAAACCGCGCAGCAAGGGCGGTGTTCGGACGACCACGATTTACCAGGGCCAGTGATCTCTTGGAGAGGCTCTCTGTTTATCGCATGGACGAGGTATATCGCCAGAAACTGCTCGTGCTGGTATGGCGGTGCGTTCATAACCGTGCCTGTCCTGCTCTGCAGGCACTGTTTGTTCGCAACTGCGGAGCAACTCGCCTTCAGCGCAGTCTGGGCCTACAACAGCCAGAAGCCGAGCAGGCCAATGCCGACCGGCATCTCGCGGTTGCCTGTTATGGAACCATATACCTGACACGGTGCGAGCTATGGGCAACATCCCAGCATTCCGCCAAGCTGCCATTCCCTACACGTAAGTCGTTGTAGACTGCTACACAGTTGTCCATACCATGGTATTCAGTACCCACAAACTTTGCAAAGCCGCCGATAATGTGATAATGTACCGTGGTGCATGCACCGGTGGTACCACCACTTCGTAGACTGCCTCCCGTTCATTTCTGTGCTCCTGTCTTTATTCTCGTCAGCTGTGTACTTCAGCAGTTCAATTCTGTGCTCCAGTCCTCTTTATTCTCGTGAGTTGTGTACTCGTTTTGCTGTTTGTCTGGTTTATTTGAATTCGCACAGTAAATGTGTACTTCAGTTATTCTCTCCTCCCTCTTCTGAGTTTGACTCTCCGCTGGCCTTCTCTCCTCCCATCCCCTTACATCGTATTGGGCCTCCGCACACACTACATTGACACATAGCACAACTCAACCATTCGCTACCCTGTTATTGAGCACTCCTGCTCGTTTGGTCTCGCAAATCCAAATAAAATCAATCAATCAATCAGGTTCCTACTTGTGGATGCAGCTGGGGACGCTGGTCCACAGGCCATGGTCGTCGATGAACTCCCATGTTGGATATCCGATGGAAGTAACTATGTGTACTAGCAAAGTTACACTGCCACTGATACCATGTACTAGTGATGGTGTTACCCTATGATGTGCTGTGATCCTGTGCCCTCCCGACCTCGTGCTACTGGTGCGTTCGGGTCCCGTCATTCCCGATTTAGGTGGATCAGTTCACATTTGGGGGGGACAATGGGCCAGTTTTAATTTCTTACTTTTACGACGGGGCAGCGCCAGTAAAGGTTTTTAAGAACCGCTCACAGAGCGATTTTTATATGGATAATTTCAGTTCTTTTTCCGTTCCCTCCCCACCCCAACCCCGAAGGTAAACATGATGAACACGCGCGCGATGTACTGTATGTAGGCATGAGACTGCGATAACACACTGATACATGCCAACCCTCCCCACCTCGCTTACCCCGCACACAGATACACAAACACGCGGATGCACACATACGCACATGCACACGACACAAACAGGAAATTCTTCATGTAAAATGCCATGCAAAGCAGTGGCCACTGTACTTTTAAAAGGAAGTCAGTTGTGGAACAAAATAATCCAACTACAACGTGTAGACAAGCTGACGGCCAAAGCACAACATAGCAAACATGACATTTGCCCAAGGATTGCAGTTTGCAGACCACGCCATGGAAGCAGCGAATACAGAATGTAATATCATACAAAGTGACAAGCAAAGAAGTGGCCACCATACACCAGAGACTTGCAGAAAGTCACATATCCAACAGATGGAAAAGTGAACAGCAATCTGGTACAGCCCACACAAGACAAAGCTGACCTGATACTTGTCCCAGGATCGCAAGTGGCAGATCCTTTTCAATGCATAACATGCAGGTGTACGTTACACGCATGGACAAAATCTGACCGTGTCGCCAGCATACATTGTCATCACATATATACCCCACAAGTTACACACATGCACAGTAGAAGCACAATGAAAGCAATGGAAAAGTACGATGTGCTTGCTGAAGCATCTTCGCACTTCAAATTCAGACTTCAATGTGGTCGTCACGAGATGATATACCTGCAAGATACAAGTGATGCAGAAAGAAAGCAGAAGGTCGTGAGGTAGGCTATGAGACACCACAAACGGGTCACCTACATGTATGTTCAGGGCTAGTGCACTCGCACGCAGAATTATCATAATCGAGCATTTCCCAAACTGAGAAGTGCAAGGAAATCCACTTGCATGCACAGGAGCAATTTTGCCGCTGATGTGATGCGCAATTCGAGACGATCTGCGATGCTGCGTGCTCACCTCTGATGCCGATTACTTCCTTGCTTAGACCGGCCCGGTCTGCTCTCCCTTCACTCTCTTCTAAATCCTACTTGGAGCAGTAAGGCTGTGTCACTGCTCCTACTGAAAACCCAGTTAGGTTGTGGTCATTGTTGTGAAAGCAATATCATCGTCATTGTGGTAATAACATACGTTTTTGCGCAGCGGCTGGCGCTAGAACGTGCAGCAAGCAGCAAGCTTGTACTTCGGATTTTGCGATTTTTTCGAGGGCAATGGCTTCCTTTTTGCTTTGGCTACCTACGAAGTATGACCAAAAAATCCATGAGAAGTATTTTTTGGAGCTGGAGTACGATTGGGGTTGTCTGATAAGTGCTAGGAGAACCCTCCTTTGTGGCTGTAGAGCGCTAAAACGTGCCCTGTTGGCCGAAAAATCCGAATTTTTTCTCTCCCGGGGACACCCCGGACCCCCCCCCCTTGTACCACTCCCAACCACCCTGTGACACCCCTGTCATTGTAGCTTACCTGCTGTCTTTCTTGGAGATGCAGTAGCAGCTGAGGACTTGCATACAATCTCTGTTTCAACTGCCACTATTTCCACAATGTTGTCAGGTATTGGTGCGGGCGACACACGCAGAAGGAAAGAAACACCATGAACATATACCTGTTACTACATGTACATGTACATGTTGCCACTGTCAAATATTCCAGAGGCAGATGGTGGGGATGGAGAGGAGAGCAACATCAGCAACAGCAGAAGCAGCAGCAGCAATAGCTGCACTATTAGCAGCAATAGCAGCAGCATCAGTACCACACAGCAATTCACCACACCATACTTCAGATTGTATTCCCGGTATGAGCATTAAATATCCAGTGGCCTTGTCCTCGCGAAATCGGCTTTCATACTAGTTCAACAGAATTCATACTCATTCAACAGAATATACAGCATACATTGCACAGGAAAATGCTTGTACATTGCAGAGGAGAATACTGGCTTTCATACTCGTTCAACAGAATCTACGGTGTACATTTGACAAGAGAATACAAGGCAAAACGATAACACAAATCTACGCCAATAGTTATTATATGTCCCTGAAGATAGGCTACTGTAAAACCGGAAAATTTCGGTGGAGATTTATTTTCGGTAACTTCGGTTTTACCCACACATCACACACGACAACTTACCTCCACGGTCGACATGAGCTCCCCAGGATCCCCCAGCTCCTCGGGACACGCCCTCACCATCGTCGTGGAAACGTTCAGCTCGGCCAGCAGCCGTCGCAAGCCATCAATCTCATACGAGCTGAGACAGGCCATGTCCGAGAACGGGCAGGATGGCGGTGATGGAGGTGGCTTGCCGCCTTGTGAGCTGTTCCCGTCTCCTGACGAAGCAGCAGCAGCAGCTGCCGCTGTCGCTGGCGACTGGGCTGCAGTGTCATCCGTTGACAGCTGTGGGATCTCGGCGCATGTGGGCGCCGGAGAGAGCTTCGCTGCATCCGTATCTGTCAGCAATCAGACAATCAGAATACCGTAAAATTCCGTTAATAAGCCCAGGGCGTATACTTTGCAGAGCGTCAACAACCGGGCGTATATTTGGGCATGGGCTTATTTTAGGGCATGGGCCTTATTTCGGATGCAATCTGCAGAAGATCAATCTATCAGCAACCCACTAGTTTCAGTGAACCACCATTCACACTGAGCGCGGTACAGGTACATCAAACCACATTTTTGGCAGTTTGCTACATTCCAACGGAACATCGCTTTTCTTTTCTTTTCTACCAATTTGTGGAAATACCAGGAGTGACGTAATATGCCAGATCTACGTGCCTTCCACATCAAGATGTACGTGATTACGAACATTTCCAAATGAAGGGCAGAGCCCTCGGTCCCGGACCGCCCGGATACAACAGATAAGAGTGTACTACATATAACGTTACATGCATAGGATTGATTGATTGCAGCTTATACCAATCATATCTTCTGAAAATTGTAGTCCAAGTTGTTGTCTGATGATCGGTTAAAACCGTGAAACTCAGAGTTACAGCAGAAACGCTTTTGATTCTCTCAAGTGTATGTAGGATTGCTGACGTACCAGACTGGGTGACTCCACTTGAGGCTCCAACTTAGTCTTGGTGAACTCCAGGCTAATGACGTTGTAGGGTTTGTCGCGTTTCGCATTCGTGTAGTACCTGCACAAGAGAGTACATGGCGTGTGCCAAACACACACACACACACACACACACACATGCACACACACACACACACACACACACACACACATGCACACACACACACACACACACGCGCGTACACACACACACAAACACACACAAACACACACACACAATGTAGCTCCGCGTCTCTTGGAACCTAAGAAAACACCCAAAAGACACCATGCCACCAAGACTTGCACTGAAAGGCTTACTTTGTAAAGTTTGCCATGCTCGTGGTAGAGCCTTGTTGTGAGGACACATCCATGATGTCAATAGTACGCCCACGCCTGCCCATCACCCAAAGACCCCCTAGCGATCTCACTGGCCCATTGCCCGCCATCCTCCTGGCACCTCCACCCATCTGCTGTTCACTGCCTCCCCATCGCCTCTTTCTGCGCTTTCATGCTCACACCTGCCTGTTGCCTGCCACCCTCCTGGCACTTCTACTGTCGCGCCGTGGCCCGCACCAGCTGTTCTCCCCATACCTTACACCAGATTTAGCGCTAAATTTGTTTATGCTTGTGGCCCTATGTATATATATATATAAGCATACTGACTCACTGTTGGGTAGACCCGAGTATCAGTTGTCTGATGTTTGCCTAACGGCATGAAACTCAAGAGTTACAACCAACCTGAACGTCCTCCGCTGAGTCTGCTATGATTTGAAAACTCCGTATGGCGGAACCCAGATGCGCATGCAGTTTACGTAAGACTTTCCCTAGATCTACTACATTTTTTAACTAACGTAATTACGTTATGCGGAACATCTCTAACAAAGTACAGTGAGTGCAGGGAAATACTTCGACAACTGCAGACAGTCAGTTATAGGCGATTCACACGACAGCCACTTGCACGTTTTACGGCGAGTGATTTACGAGAAAAGTGACTGTGTGGATTCACATGGCTGCACTCAACAGCGGGCACGTTTGCATTTTTGAATGATTCACCCACCAGTTGCCATGAGTATTTCAAATTTTCAAAACACGTGTAAAATAATTAATAATAATATTCGCGGGATCCGCGTCGGCATCGCTTGAATGTTCAGAAACACCCAAACTAGCCTTCGCATCCGCAGGCCACACCTATGCCTGTTAACCTTAGTGGCGAATGCAGACCTCACAAGTGAGTCAGGGGAGAGGAGGTTAGTCTCTCAACCAATCGGGCGTATAACGGCCCATAACCCTGTAAACTGCATCCTTGTTATTCTCACTCCGAGCTTTGAGTACCCAGTTGACCGTGGGTGTCGGCGCAGTTCAACACGCGTAAAAAGTCTTTTTACACGCTCCCTGCTACCAGCGCGGGTCTTGAACTCGGGACCTCATGATTCGCAGGCAGGCCTGCAAACCAATCAGCCATATGCGTTGGTATGGTTGGTACAATAATTATCATGGTGAAAAGAGCCGCGTAAAAAATCAAGTCTTGTTTTGCGCTTTTTGGTGTAAATATAGTTTACTGCTTGCCGCAGAGGGGCTGAGGGCTAGACCCACAGGACACTTCTGATCATAACTCACTAGACCTAGTCTTTCTTAAACTTGCATTCAGTTTCGGCGGGGACAATACCCCCGACACACGACCAACAAAATCTCTAACTGTCTTTGACGCCATCAGAATATCTATGCAAACACAGCCTAACGGACAAAGTCAAACAATCCGTGACCTGATGTTGACACAGCCTGGTCAGTATGGAGCTTGCATGTCGAGTCTGCAGTTAAGGAATTCATACCTCAAAAGTTGAAGCGAAATAACCTGAACAACAATGTCACGTTCGGAAATTTTATTGGGTGGTCATCCCGTTTGACTGTGCGAAGTAAAATTAAAACAACCAAATGGTTGGGTTGATCTGCACTGTGCAACCGATTCTCTCACCTTTCTTCCTCCAGCTATGCCTGTGATACCCTTTGTGAATCTGCGAAACACTAGTGGCAGGCCACGCGAAAATGAGAATGCGCGCAGCCAAGTTTAGGCCATCATCTCCTTCACTGATCCATCATCCCGGCGGTAACTCCGCCCGTTCAATATCCAACACCAGTCCCCAGGAAAGAATAAGGCACGAGATTTCAAGTTCAAGGGCAAAGCTAAAGCCAATGGCACTGATTTTTGGAATTGTCGAGTAGAACGAAAATAAAACAATCGAAGGCGATCATCAGTCAGATTCGACACACACGTGACACAGTTTGGGTCGCGCTCGTGTGTCGCGCTTCGCAGCTCGAGCGCGCCCAAGATGAGTCTCGCGAGCGCGACAGGCTAGCCGCGCTAGCCGCTTGCGACAAAAGTTGTCTTTTTTTTACGAATTCTGTGACGTCATGTTTTGGAAGAATGTCCCAACAGTCATTCGCGTACCTGTACAGTGCTGGCAACTGAAATCCGACCCCCCGGGCTGCGCGGCGCGCCGGAAAAGTGGTCGGATTTCCGTTGCCAGCACTGTACATGTACATGTAAGTGTACATTGTAAAACAGAGTTATGGCCACATTGTATATTGTTTGCTTGGCTAATGAAACTACACCAGCATATCCATGTCTGCATTCACCCGTTCATCATACAAGATGACGCAATCTGTTATGTTCACAACTCCAGATGTGTATGTGCATGGACAGCAGGATTTGGTAACTAAACTCAAGAGCATGCATTGTAACATGCGGGAGTATGCTATTGCGTGTGCGCGTATTTGATGCATTTGTGTGCGCAAGGGGTACTTGTTTTTGAGTGTGAGTATGTGCACGTAAGCGTATGTATCATTGAAAATGCGCATGCACCCACAAACAGTTGTGCTTGTTCCATGCTATCGGGAATAGAATTATGATTATACCCTAATGGGTGCTACAAATACTAGCAGTCAATCATTGCCAATATTTATTTGAGACTGCATGTACATGTACATTGTACATTTACATGGACTGTACTACAAACCTGAAACTGTGAAGTTATTGGTCCAGAATATAGTAACTGTTATCCTCATCAAGCTCTTTTCCTGTCGCCTTATGAGAAAAGACTAGGAGTGAACTATTGCAAGAGTTGTGATGCAAAGCTAGTCTGAACTGCGTTCAGGGTCAGTAGCCGTCGGCCTGGATCATGAATAACGTTGTGCATGGATCATGCCGATATCCAGACCATGGGCTAAAACTCCCAGGAACCATGGCCGCACCTGGTCTTCATGGGTACTATAACAATTTGGGAGATGATTCAATGTTTTTAACTCAAACAACTGGAGTAATACACAAGGAATGATCAGCTTACCTGAAAAATAACAATTTCAAGAATGGTGGGAAATCGACCAATTTTCAGTCCTATTAATTATTATTTTTGGAGGTCTAAAATGCACGGTAAGGGACCGGTAACATTGGGAACGATGCTCAGATTATATAAACCGGGAATTTTTTCTACTTTCCATCACGGCCACACTGGACACGCATAATGAAACAAATCTCACCTACACTAGCTATTTTTTTGTCCCCATTCGGCAGTCTGTCAGCCACACTTTCTGGGCCAGAGCTGCATCAGCACACCCTGTAGAGTATCTCAACACTTCATTACGCAATAAAAAAATGAAACTCCAAGAAATCCAGTGGGGGCCGCGGATGATCGGGAATTCCGCAACTACTTCATAGAGTATGCAGTGGAATTCAGTGGGACAGAAAGGATTTCCAAAATGTCTTTCTTCTCGAGCGAAATAAAAGGCCAAAGGAAAATGGCATTTTATGGCAAAGAAGAGGTTTGAAACAAAAAACACATTTTTACATTCGAAGTCGGAGCCTCCGAAATACAATTATCCCGCGGAACAGCGAGGCCTCGAGGTGATTTTCATGGAGTGGATTAAATCTCTCAAATCTCTTCCACCGCGAAAAATATCCATGGTACTAACCACGGATTTTTTTCCAAAATGTTTCTCAGTGTGACCGGCCCCTTACACCCCCGCCCTCAAATTATATATTTGCAGCTTCTATGAAGTACGAGGATCCCAAAACTAGAATGAAAAGGGCATGTCCAAGAAAAATTATGAAGCTTTTACTTTGCGGACTGACATTTCTGCCAAGTTCATTTTTGTACCTAAATTGCTATTTTCCTTAGTAGTCAATGATGACTGCGAGATTTTCTAGCTCAAATGCTTCACTGTGATGTGTGAAAGAACTTGCAATCACAAAGAGAAGCCAGGTGATTGGTAAATCTGAAAATATGACCCAGAACAGGCAAATTTAGGCTGAAATCGATATAATAATATACACCCACCCTAAGGAATGCATCTCAAACGGTCTTATAACCGCCGAGACCCCCCTGATTTTCTTTGTGGAGTAACATGGGATGATACAGATTACACTCTTCCACAAAGAGCAGGGGGGGGGGGGGGATTATGAAGGAAAAATCACCCCCAAAGGGTAGGGGGCTCTGTAATTAAACATACCAAAACCACAAACCCAGTCACATACATGTACAATGTACCTTTCTCACTTGCACTTGTCCGATCTGCACATGCTATCACACAGCTCTGTTGAGCCGTGTGATATCACGGCTTTATTAGTGCTAGCTTTAGAATATTGGTGTTTCTGGTATTAGTTTCAGACCCAATATCTTTCACTTTATGGCGTCATATATCTTTCCTTTATAGTCCAACACTCAGTGTGAAGATGGTTTCTGATGATAGCCACATGAAAACGACGTTCAAATCTTATAACGAGAGGGTTTTAAAGCTCAGGGCCCTACGCTATGCTCTTTCGCCTTGCTCAGCATGAATGTTAGTCGAACTGATGGAAACGTTTTTTTGCAATACAATGATGTGCTTGAAAATACCGCCATTCCGGCAACAGGCTGTAGCCGATAAAGTAACGTCTTTCGCATATTAGCATAGATGAGTAGATGACGGCATTATGCCAACGGACCGCAGTCCCAACATACCGAACAAATTCGGGCATGATCACGTCCTTTTCTGCTGCCAACTGAATGCCTGTTCAGCAGTCTCTTGCTGTCGACGCATCTTTTCACCGAGTCGGCGGGTCTCCAATTCACGGATATCTTCACCGTTGGTTCTTGTTTTCGGCGTAGCGTTTCGCAAGCACCGCG